CAAACCTCTATGCCTTCGTGAGTTACCTTCATTGGTTATGTTCTTGCTACGTCACTCTTTTTTCACAGTTGGCACGGAAATTTTGGTGCAACATCGCGGTGCCTCCATGGGCTCACCCATGGCCCCCTCAATGTGCGGAGCGACCGCAGCCCTGTGGGAAGCCACTTTCCACCAACTCATTCGCGATCAGTTGCTGACTTCTCGTTATTTCTGTTCCTCACGCTATGTGGACAATCGTTGCCTCCTTCGGATTTGGGATGGGGAGCTGGAGTCCCTGGACGACTGCCAACGACACCACTCCCGCCGAGGTTACGATCCTTTCTCTTCATCCTCTACGTCATCGTCTGGTTGGTTTCAAGAGGTATACCTACATCCACATTTCTATGGCCTTCCCTTGGAATTGGAGCACGTTCCGGGACAAGAACTGTTGGGCACCGTCGTGGACACCGCACAACGTTCCATCCGACTTGTCCTCCCACGGAACAGTATCTCTTTGCGCTCTCCGTGTTCAGTCTCTTCGACACGCAGGAACACTCAGGGACTCACCACGCGGATTTATCTCATTTGCAGATTATCCTGGCCCAAAGCCGTCATTGCACCTCAAGTTCGTGAACTTATTCATCTATATCGTGAACGAGGTTTCTCTGAACGCTCACTGGAAGACGCATCCCGATCCGTACTTCGTCGTTTTGGACTACGTTGGCGACAGGTCAGTGAACCCCCGGAAAACTTGCCCCCTTGCGTTTATTGAATCTGCACCACTTCATTTCGTTGATTTATTCGCAGGCATTTTAGGTCAAGTTACCACCAGAGCCCCTAGTCATGGCCGGTTCTTCCCCCGATTCCTATCTCTTGGACGACGTCACCTGGACACCAGACCCGGACATGGACTCAGACCTGGACGCCTCCTCCGCACACGATGCTGGTCTACTTCCCACAGGTTCAGATGTTGACGGGGACCCCACGCCTCATCGCACCCTTCCACTTTCTCCCTCTCCTCTCCCAGGAAAACGACCCAGCAAACGCCGTCGACGACATCGCCACCATACTACCTCCTCTTCTTCCACATCGTCTCGACCTTCCAAAGCCACGTCAACCTCGTCGTCGACATCTTCATCGTCCTCATCCTCTTCTTCGTGCTCCACTACGGAACTACAAGCAATGGACCCACCTACCTCCTCGTCCCGTCCAAAGAAACGTTCACGGGAGACACCTTCCGGGACCAGCACTACCACTCCAGCGACGGGACCTTCACTCGCCACGACAAATCCCCTCAGCAACAGTGGACGCTCCCCCTCGCATCCGAATCCCTCCCCGAGGACATGGTTATACATTACATCAAGTACACCGCAGCAAGTCGGGCACTACACATTCCATCGTTTCATTCCATGGAGATGCCGCAGAACGTCGCCGACAACAGTGGCTCCGACAATGGCGCCAGTGCACTCCTGCCTCACCGTACTATCAGGACGTGCAGAACTGCATCAGACATCGCGCCCGCATTATGTTGGACATCATCGCTCATGAACGAGGAGGACCCACTGCAGCTACAGACAATTTACGGATACGACGTCGCTATGACCTACCCGAAGACCAACTCATTCCTTTGGCACTCATCTACCGGGAATGCACTACTCGCAGACGACGATCTGTCCGCGACATTCTGATTACCTGATTCCAACAAGAACCCGCTCTGGAAAACATGCCTTGGCATCTCCGTTTCGTCAGTTCTACACCCGCTGCCTTTTTACCGTAGCTTTTCTGTCCAAACGCAGTTGTTTCCTTCCATCACCCACGAATGGCTTCCTTCTCTGACATCCTCCCCATGATCCTCTCCTATTTCGAGATGCAGACTATGATACAATTGGATCCCCGTCATTGCCAGCGTCCACACACTGATGACCGCCACACCACCCGCTCTGCCTTCTCCATCTTGACCGCACATCACGCTGATTGTTCCTGGCACCAATATGGCGTTTGGCAACAGTTCCTCACTGCCCTCCAAGATCACAAGATGAGCGCCCACAATTTCTTTGGCTTCCACCACGACAACACGGTGTTCACGATCTATCATTATCAGCCCTCGGTCATCGTACACTGCAATCGACTGTGTTGGCGAGCCCACGTCCAGCTACGTTCTGCATCACGACTTTGCCTACGTGTCCGCATTCGAGATCCTACCCTAGCACAGTGGCGACCTACTTCGTCCGGACCCTGGATTACCACATGCTGGTGTTCAGCGCATTGCCTTTCCTTTTCCAAATGGACATCTACGACTTCACGCCGCCACTCGCCTCCTCCACCCATCACAACGGACAATCCTTATTGGCAGCAGGAACAACAACGACATGGTCTGCTCCCACCTCTGAGACGGTGAAGCTTCGGAGGACACTGACAGAACATTTTTTTGAGACAAAGAACCTCGCGTGTGCATCTTGGCCGTGGCCTATTTGATGTACCGCAGCCTTTTCAGCACTATTTGGTTAGTCCTCCGCCTCTGCTTTCCTTCCTTTCTTCGCCTCTGCACTCATGGCTCCGCAACTACTCGATATGCCTTTGGAATGGTGGCTTGACTTCTTGGTGGAGCTCCGAGTATGGCAAGTTCGTCCAATGACCTCACCCGATCTCCAGATCCCCAGTACCCTCCTTGATCCACGCTTTGTCATATCACAGCACCGATTCACGACCTCTCAGAACCGCTTCTACCTCGACACCCTTCATGGACTTTGTCAACTCAATCCTTCCTTCCAACGACTGGATTACTATGACCCAAACATCTGCGGTTACCAGTACAGCATGTTCACAACCGCACCATCTCCACGCGTACTTCACGCGTTACTTCTTGCTGATCGTCGACTACATTACATAATGAGCCAGATGATACTTCGTCATCGTTGGCAACTTTGCCTTGGTCTACTGGCACCTAAAGTCTACGCTCGTCATGTTGATCGACGTCAATATCAAAGGCATGAATTGCCAACTCCTCTCCGAGAAGTTCTCCACCGACTTTCCTTGCACCGCTGCCAGATCCTACAAGTTCACCCGACGGCTCTACCTGCTCTACATGCTCACCGTCTTCGTCTGATTAACTCACCCCGCTACGGCGGGGTGTGTGTGTGTGACAACCCTGTATCCAAGGGCCTTCTCCTCACGCTCTGCAGCCGTTTCCTACTTACGCTTTATATATAACCGAACTTGAGTACAGAGTACACAGCAGGGGGGCAGCGAGCATTTCTGGATTGCGCTGCCTAACAAAGACCGTCCAGATTTGCTGTGATATGAAGAAGGGACGCCTTCTTCACGTACCTGCACAATTGCTTGTGACATCCTGGTCTTCGCTGTATATGGTTCGTCATCGTGTTGGTGCATATTCCTTGTCTGGATGGCCTGGGGCTAAGCCGAGGACCCCGCACAGAACCTTGTCAGTGCGAGTGAAGCCATTCTTCAGTGCGAGCGTTTGCAATCGTTGGTCCTGGTCTTGTCCTTCGGCACGTTGGGGTTCAGGCTGGCGTTGTGGTTTAGCCAGGCAGGTTGAGGTGTCAGCTACAGACTTTCTGCACTTCCTCTTTGCAGCTGTTGTCCATGAAGCTACCTGTCCAAAGTCTCTGATGTGTGGTCGCTTGAGACCTGGACATCAGGTGGTCCGTCGCATACCGAAACCTTCCTTAGCATTCAGTGTGTGTGTGTGTGTGGATGATATACCTGCACCCACATGAAATCCATCCGTCCCTCGGTCCATCCATCCGTCCGTCTGTCCAACCATGTATGCACCCACGCATCCACGCATCCACCCATCCATCAGCACGTCCACCGTCGGGACGGCAGCTTGATGCCCCGGCAAAGACTACGTGTCATCGAAGTCAGGCTTGCAACCATCACATTCTTTCATGTTGCACCCCCGACCGCTTAACCAATAAGTTCAGGTGGAAACTATGTATTTGATCGATGTTCGTGTTGACCAAACAGAGCGGCAACCTTAGACTTGCCAACGGCCTCGCCGCCCTACCTGACAGAGGTCGGTAGTGTCTTGAAACCTGCAGTGAACGATGTGAAGGTGCACGAAACAAACAAGTCGTCTCTGCAAGTATAGTCAACATGAAGCAAGGCAATGCAAGGTACAACATCGAGGCCAGGCTAATGCAGAAGCGAGGCATGCTTTTTCTGACATTATGTATAGGGATGGACTCCCAGGCCGAAAACTTCCAAAAGAATAGGCAGGCAGGACAGCAGCTAACACCAATCTGATGTAGCTTCCGAAGTCATTTTATGGCTTGAATCTGGATTTATAGAGCCACTGTTTCGTTTTCTGGTGCCTGGCTTTCCCTTTGCACAGTTATGTTAAGTTGTGCCACCAGACTACGCTCGAAAACGATTCGCGCCGAAGCGAGGCTGCCTCTTAACTCCACGCATGTGGCCGTGTACCGATGTGATCTTGTGCATGCAGAAGTAGAGCTATCGGGCTCAACATGGCAGGCCTGCCAAGGCCTTGGCAGAAACAGCTGTGCATTTTGATTTATCTTTGCGTTCCCCAACACACGCCGGAGTGTTGTTCCGGTGACGATTGTTATACGTCCTAGACCGATCGAACTTGCAAACCACTCTGGTACACTCTCCACTGCGAAACAGTGCAACCGTGCTCAAGGCGTCGTCGGAGGGAGGAGCCGTGCAAGGGCTGTGAAGTGCTACGCACTACATGCAGTGTTGGCTTGCACCTTCGAGTTGTCGACGTGGCTTTGTTGTCGTTGATGTTGATCTGATTGTAGTTGTGGTCAGAATATCACTGTCCTCATTCGGGTTCTCATTTTTGCCTTACAGTCTGGTTTCGTCGTACTTTTCGTGGTGGTCGTCGTTGAACCATCACCTTTGCTGCTGCTGCTGCTGCTGCTGCTCTCCTCCTCTCTTTGCTTCTGCTGCTTCAGTTGCCGGTTTTGCCAGCGCTGCCATCTGCATGGTTGGCTGAACTTCATGCTGTCTTCATTCGTTTCAGTTGCTGTTAATGAATGCTGTGTTCATATTGCACAGAGAGAGAACGGAAGGAGCGGGAACGGGAACGTTCGCGAAGCCCGGTGCGCCTGCCAGAGGCCAGAGGGATCCGCTTCCCGAAAATCCGTCGTGTCAAGCTGCGGCTCCATGCGGCTCCGCAGGTCGACCAGTTCATTGATGAGAACAACATCAACGCCGAGGCGGCGACCAAGATCCGGACTCTCAGCGCCTCGGCTTTGTTGGCCATGGTCATGGCCCAGCAGTTCTTGCATAGGGCGGATCCACGGGGGATATAGCCCCAAACACAGCATTAGAAGTACTATAGTAGCTGCTTGGCGAGTTTGCTTTGCATGTTTCCAGCTTGGAATGCAATCCGTTCGGCCGGTGTTGCTCATCAAGCTTGGTGGTTCGCTTCACTATGCTTCACTGGATGCGCGATTCGCATCGCCGCATCGCCGTGTGCATCATTCCACACAGCAAGGTCCGGAGAGCCAGCGGAAGGTCATCTCTCGGCCCCTGACCGGGGATGTGCAAAATCCGTCCGGGTCCCTGGTCTCGAAGGGTTGATCGGAGCCATAAGGCCTGAATGGTCATCCACAAAAGAACTCGACTGGTTTACGCCGGGCAGCGGTGGAGGTTTCCAGCCCCTGCACTTTTCCAGCAACGCCCGAAGACGACGCAATGCTAGAAGACGAAGCAAGCAAGAGCGAGACAGACAGAGACAGGGAGAGAAAGAGCGAGCTGGCCGGCGGTGACAAGCTATGACAAGCTCGGGTTCGCCCGCACGCTGGAGCAAGCTGCGTCCTCATTCCCAAAGCAGGGGTGATGAAGAGATGGAGAGAGATTTACGTTATCGACTTCAGTCTAAAGCCAAGCCTGCAGAGCGAGGTGTGGGGCACCCTCAGACCTGAGAATCAAAGCATGAGAGAATCAGGAGATAGAAAGCGACGCACGAGGTCGAAGGTGATGATTGCACGTGTCCGCGAGCTTCAGAACCAAGAGGAGAAGTCCAAGTCAGGAGGCCTGCTTTGGTTCTCATGATTCTGTGAAAGCTTCAGGCAAGCCGCGTCTGATTGCAGGTTTTGAATCCCTGAAACTTTCAGAGAAAGGAAAGTGCTGGGGATAATACTTGAACTAGAACTCGGGTGGTTTCAGTGAGTGCAGGGTCATGGCCCACCAGCAAGATCTAAGCAGCACAAACCGTGAAAGAGCTGACAGTCCAATGCCTGTTCGAGAAGTTCAAGCGTCCTTGCAGAGGGAATACGCGCATCCAGCTTGGAATACGCGCATCCAGTAGCGTGGCATGTGCTCACATTGTGCCTTACTTTCTTCCACGACAAGGGATGGCCTCACATGACCGAAACGGAGGACACGGTGAGACCTGAAGTCTATATTGAACGGAACAGAAGTTCTCCTCCGCACGTAGATTGCCCTGCACCCACGAGCCATAATCATTTACACCAGGCGGGTCCGATTCGCTGGGTTTTTGGGGAGACGCGATGCCGAAGCCTCAGCCTTTGACGCTTATGCCGGTGCCTCTCAAGGTCCCTGCTCTGCGAGGGTCAAGACGGACTTCACGGTCCCTAGCCGTGTGTACACACTGGCACGTGTTCATGCTGCAGGCTTCAAGCGACGGCACAGGCTGTTGCCAAGTACATCGAGGCCGTCTCGCCTTGTGCTTGTAGAGCAGTGGCCGGGGGGCAGCGGCACACAGGCGTTCAGGGCGCATGGCTCTTGATGCTGCCTCGTTGGCACTGCACCAGGTTCGGGTTCGGATTCGCTCGGGTATGCAGGCCCTCGGGTCTGACACGGCATTATCAACGAGCCAGTTGAAAAGCAACCACGGTCCAATCGAGAATCTGTGAATGCTACTGGCCGCTGCAGGACAACCACTTAGATGTGGGGCCCCCGGCCGTGGGTGTGGGATTGTCTTCGGGTGACTGAGGTTTTTCATGGCCTGGGTTGCACCGTTTCTCAACTGTTTGTTCATCGATGCCGGGTACGCAGATTCAGGGGCTGGAGGCTTCGGGCTTCCTTCAAGAGCTCTGGATGGCCTTTGAAGATGGAGAGTCTAGTTTAGAGGGTCAAGGCCACGCCGAGCCATGCTTAAGATGAGGTTTGAAGGAGCAAGGGCGAGGAGGCATCAGTAGCGAGCAGTCTCAAGCAGTGTCTTTGCCTTCAGCGAAGCTTCTCTCCGTTTCTCCAAGCCGCTCCCCGCCAGAGCCGTGCAGCCAAAGCCTTGCGGGCGCTTCCTCCGCAGCACCAGGCGGGTTGAGGGCGGGACATTCCGTGCCATCCTCTGTGTTTCTTGAGCCATGCCACGCGCCGCCGCGTGTCGCTCCACTGGTCTCCAGGCTGTGGCGATCCGCTGGGACCTCTCGCACCATCGGAACCGGTCGGAGAAGTTCTTGTTGGGTGCCAAGTGGAACGGCCGTGAGAGCACTCGAAAAAGGCTCTACTTAGCTCTACTTCGATACGGCCGATAGAGATGATGCGGGGGATGTTGCGGGCTGCGACGCTCACTTCGATTCTCATTCTCTCCATCACGAGGTCTATGGCGGCAGTGCTCGGCAGCGGCCCAGCACCCGGAATGCCGATGCCGCCGATGCAACTTGGCACCGTGAAAGCTCAAGGCTTTGGCATTTGGGATTATGTTGTGTTTGTTTTGCGTGCATCATTTCCCTTTCTGATGTTCTGGGGCTCGGGTGACGTCACCAGTTCGTGTATACCCCCACTGATAGGGCACCGGCTGAGCTGTTGAGTTGCAAGGTACGGACTGCCCCACGTGCCCGGACCAGGAGGCCACGGACGAGTGCGAAGAGGGGCAAACGAGAATCGAACTGTCCCTGACCGGGATTCCGTGTGTTCCGTGAAGACGTGCTCCCATGCAGGGTCGTTCGGCAGCGACACACATCCTTGATATATGAAACACCTTTCATCCCAGAATGCTCGGGTGCGTTCAAACCTCTCAGGTGTACCGGCCATGTACACCATGCCTCCACCTGGAATGGGCCCTCCTGGCATGATCCCCGCAATGTATAGCAACTTGGCAGCAGGCCTTCTCTGATGCCTAGACTAGGCTGCTGCCGAGAGTGGACCGTTTACAGCTCTACTCGTGCGTTCTCTGCACTGCTGCGCATGTCTAAGGTATGCCTCCTCCAGGCCGGCGGCCAGCGCGACTCGTATGCTGGACTGGTCAAGATGTCTGATGTCGCCAGAAGCCCTTCAGCAAACCCTGCGACTTGAGCGTCATGAAGCGTTTCTTCTGCGCCATAGACAGCCAGGTATGGGCCCAGGTATGGGCATGATGGGAATGCCGCCGCCGGGGCGCTGAGCGGACTCGGGCGGAGAGCTTTATGAAGAAGGACTTCAGACCTTAGCGAAATTCAAGTCCCACGGTTTAGACGGTCTACGCTTTGTCGCCTAGTGCTTGAAAGTTTCATGTATTGCGGTCAGCATGCTGAGCTGCGCCCGGTCGCACTTCTTGCAAGCCTGGCAGTGGCGAGTGTGAGCCTGCTGCCGGAAATACGTAGCTTCAGGTTCAGAGCAGGATCATCTGACGTTTCCTATTTCCGGCAGCCCAGAAGGAAAAGGAACTTAGAACCACAAGTCTCACTGCCAAGTTATTATTCCTTTCGTCAGTGGAGGCTCTGGGATTTGGGCGCAGGCTTTCGGGTTGCGTTGCTTCCACGAGCGTCTTTCTCACAGAGGTCCGAAAAGACTAGTGCAGACGACATGCCGCGGCGAGTGAAAACTGCCGACTCTTCAAATCGACTTGGACGAAGCCTTAGTTCGGCATAGTCAACTGTCAACAGCTGAGTTCGAACCGTCACAAAGTAGGCAGTATTCAGACAGTGTTGCAGATCGTCGGCCAGTCGATAGCAGCCACGTGGTCTGCTGCGGACCATGTGTTCGGTTTGCTTCTTGTCCGGCAATGTTGCTCACGTTGTTTGAAAACTGGCTCTTGCAAGCTGTACATAGACACTTGGAACACAGCCACTGCAATGGTCTTGTGGCCCATGACCGCAGCAAGAAGTCCTCGCATATACCACCTGCCGTGCCCCGCCCTCATCCCCAATTCAGCTACATATGAGACCCATGACACCCCAAACCCTTCCGGGCAGATCACGCTTTGCCGCTGTGTTGTGGGGCCTGCCATGGGTTGGACATGGTTCAATCGGGCCGAGCTTTCGGTTCTGTCACTTGCCCTCCAGGCGAGAAGCTTTCTCAGTTGTGGGTACCCATCTTGTGCATGTTGATCCTCGGGCTGCCGAGAGTTCTGATCCCACAGGCCCTGGCACAAAACACGGGACCCGGTGCTCCTGTCAGCAGGGGCGCCAAGTGTGGGTGTCTGCTGCCTCTAGTCTTGACTGATCACATCATGCTCTGATCGCCTTCCCAGTTCTTCGTGCATGGGCTTGCTCTCAAACTAGAGCCATCTGCATCGATGACCCTTCAGGAAAAGATTGACAGCACAGGGTGCGTAAATGCTAGGTGGCAAGCTTGTTTATACGAAAAGCTTGTTGCAAGCCGATCCACGAAGAACATGCTCGAAGTCCAGTGCTGCTTTCTCACTACAGGTAGAGAATAAGTGCTCTAGGAGATCACAGTTTGGATGCGTTGCATATGTCGTGAGTCTTGGGACAAGCGCTCTCATCACAGTCTGGGAGGTAAAAATCCCCAAACGTTGGATGCTCGATTAGGATCCAAGTAGTAAGCTCTCAGCTCGGAATGCTGTCGCAGGCTTCCAACAGCGCTGGCCTGAGAAACCGGCTTGAGCAGCCCGTTCCCGAACTCGATTCCGAAGCATGGATCCCCAGCCCCCATCTCTTTCACCTAGACTTGGACTCGGCTTGGCGCAACCGAGGCCCGGCTTCCAGAACCGCTACTACCAGGTCGGATGCTCCGAGGCTCCGCTCCGCTCCGGTTTAGGCGTCCCTTCGTCAGGCCAGCGGCTACCTGGGCTCCCGCGTGCTGGAGCACAACCGGACAACGCCGGACCGCCGGGCGCTCTTTGCGCTCCGCAGAAGAACCCCAAACCCCCCAAAGCAAAAAGAAGCGCGGCTCCTCTCCTTTTTCCACACCACGCCGCGCCGCTCCGAGGGCGCTTCGACCAGTACATCGAGGCGCTCGGCCGCGAAGCCGAGCCCCCCCACTGCCTGCCCTTTGTTGTGAGGTCCTCTGGCCCTCCAACGCCGTGGTCGACCGGGACAGGCAGCCAGGGCCTCGGTCTCCCCACTCTCAATAGCTGCGGTGTGTCTGTTTCCTCCTGTGTCTTGGCACTTCGGTCGGTACATTCCGTGCGAGCAGCATGGCTTGCCCAGGATCTGGCTGTCTGATCAGAGGCAGCACCAGGCTCACCGCAGTTAGCTGGGCTGTGCACCTGCTCGTCACGCTGCGAGCAAAGTCGGACTGGATAAGACTCAATGTGACCGCAGATAGTGCTGGTGAAAGCCACCAGCCGCTACGTGACCTGGCCGGCCTTCTACACGGAGACCTCCGCGGCAGTGAAGGGTGCTGCAAGAGCTGCAAGCTCGAGCTAAATGTGGTCAGGAGTACGCAGGCGCTCGAGGTCTCCCCGGACATGTGGATGGCAGTCGGCTGAAGGCGCCCACTCCATCGTAAAACTGACCGGAAGACACTGCCGTTCTGTTGTCTGAGGCGCGCTTCAACAACCCAAAGGGCATCGTCATCACAATGGACCCTCGAAGGGTCGGACCGGGGAAGTCGGCTTTGTGTATTTGAGATTCGTAGGGATGCTGAATTGGTAGCAGCTTCTCTGACATTTCACTCTGCCGGGCCATCTTTGCTACTTGTAGCTGCCCCGCTATCCCTGTGCAGCCTCTGCGGCTCTATGTGGCAGACAGCGGCCCAGCAGCATTGAGACTGTTTGCAGCGACTTGAGCTCACCTTGACCAGAACTCGTGACAGCTCCTTCAATCCTTGATATGGAAGGTCCTGTCCCCAACTGGGGACAGTCGAAACACACGCCCCGGATTAGTCTGAGCAGCAGCTTCTGCTTCATGTTCTCTGTGGTGACGAAGTACTCCAGAACAGCTAGCCTTGCCTTCGGAAGCTGTGATAGCTTCTGTCTGTAGGTCAAGATCGGCAGCGCATGTGCTTCGTCAAGTTGGCTGTTCCGGGACTCCGTGCAACTCTTGGTGTCAGGTGGTAACCACTGCATTCGCGTCCTGAATTACGACTCGGGACGTGTTGCGACAATCGCAGGCTGGGCCCATTCGTGGCATCCCACTCAACCGTCGCTGCAAGCCCGAGGCTCCAAGGACACGCGAGGTTGGCGGGATGGGTGGTGCCCCAAGACCTTCCCTTCAGTGGAGTTTTTGACTGTTGCGGGGCACATCGAAGCATTCAAGCATTGCTCGTGGCGTGAGGCCCGGACAGGAGGCTCAATTCGACGAGCCTTCGGGCCTAGGCATGGACTCTGAAGGCGTCGGAAGCATTGAAAGTTGAGTCTTTCCCTGTTTCTATGCTCGTGACATCTGAGAGCCTTGTAGCTGCGTGGTTGTCCACTCGTGCCGTGCTCTAGATGCCACTGGTTCGTGCTTATCGAGTTCTCTTTTTTGACTACTGTACCGGTGTGCGCTGTTCGGGCGACGTGGCTGCTTAAATGTCATGCGGCGCAGGAACAGAGTGTGTGAACACCGCAGTGTCCCTTCAGCGGTGTTGTGGCCTTCGGGTTGTCAGAATGTTCACCGCAGGGGCGGCGAAGTCCTGGCTGAATGAGCCCTGAAAGCCACCAGGGACTGGGTGTCTACGTGTTCTGCAAAGCAGGCGGAACCGGTCGCTCTGCTGAGCTGCGAGCCTTCCAGAACATGTGCCGGTCAAGGCTTCTTGTGCTCTGCGAACGAAAGCTCTGAACAAAAAGCCATGGTTTTGACAGTGGATGGATGGGGTCTGAAGGAGGAGCGGAGACTGCTTGCAGGCTTAATTTCATGAACTCTGCGGTGCTTTCAGGACGGTCAAGCCCGACAAAAAAGCGAATGATTGCAGCATGCTCGAAGCAGCAGTCCAAAGCGGTTGAAAACGATTCCAAGCCCATCGTGGTCGAGCTTGCAAAAGGCCCTAGGCCCTAGGCCCCAGGCAGTCCGAGCAGAGACACCTTCTGCTGCGGTGCCAGTGAGGTGGTCTCTTAGCACAGACACTATGCTTCTGGTGAGTCCCCCATTTTGGCCCGGGCAACCACTCTTCATACATGCTTAAATCCGACATCCGTGATCCGTGGTGACAGTGCGCAGGCAGCTCGTACTAGTAGTTGGAAACGGTTGAAGCACCAGCATGTCAGTATTCCCTACCTGGACAGGTCTGCATCTGTTCGTGCTTGACAACTTCCGCAGGCTTTGGGGTGATAGATGCTGGGGTCCACAGGCCCATCACAAGTTGCCAAAAGGGCTCCTTGACTTCGTTGAGCTGCAGAAATCTTTCTTCCGGATCTGTGATCACACGTTGCCAGAAGGCAGTTCATCCCGGGCCCTGCGTAGCAGGATCCGCTATATCGAGCTGTATCTCAAGAAAAAGACGGCCCGGTCCACGGGGTTGGACTTTTTGCCAGGTTGTAGAAAGCTTGTCAAATCCGGCCGCAGTTGTAGCAGGATCCCAATCTCAAACCATTGCCCAGCATCTTGACCGTGCATTGACAGGTGACCACCCTAGTGGGTGGCGCGTGCCGTGCCGTTTCGCGGTGGACGGCTCGATCCCAAGAAGTCTTCTGCTGCCCGAGAATGGCTGCAGCTGCCCAGCACGTTTCGTTTGTGTGTCCTTTTCGCGGTTCCAAGAAGCTCGCGGTCGGAAGTTGTTCTAGACAAGGCCTACGTGGTCATGTGATTTATGGAGTATCGATTGATCGGACCGGTGTTGCGATCACCCTCTATGTCTAGGAGTGCTGAAGCCTAAAGGAAAGCT